ACGTTTAAATTTTAATTGTTGTAATTGTATCTGCTCTTTCTCTGAACCATCAAGTCTAGATAAATGTCATTGTGAAATTCTTAAGCATTGTAAAGGTTTAACATGTTGCCTTCTTCTTAGTTCAGATTTGTTAACTTTCCTGCCTCAAAGGCTAATACATTAATTGGAGAAGGGACACTTCACGGTCAACTTCTGCCTCATGAGGTTCAAATAACAGACAGATAATGGCAGCTGGCATTATTATGATCACCTTTGAAGTTTAAAAAATTGTATCTTCTGCAGAATACGTAAACCACATGTATCATTATTGTTCCATGAAGTCTGTATACCTATGTATGGGGCTAGAGGAAGGGTACACTCTGGACAGGTAACAAGTCCATCACAGGGTAACGTTTTATAGACATGTTGTCTCTATGGACCATGAGCTGCATGAGGTCAATTACTCTCAGAGGGGTTTGAACCTGAAATTTACCAGTATAAACAAACTAGACAGTAAAGATATAAATGCAGTTGCTGCTCTAGCAAGTTAAAAGACCATCACTGTCTTACTTTATTTTTTTAGGAGTATGCTTCTACCATGAGTAAGTGTACTGCTTATTTAAATGTTTTATCATTTGTGCATGTCTAAGTCTGCCCCATTTGATATACAGTGGGGCCAAAAAATATATAGTCAGCCACTGATTGTGCAAGTTCTCCTACTTAAAAAAAAAAATCCAGGAAATCACATTGTAGGATTTTTGAATAATTTACTTCTAAATTATGGTGGAAAATAAGTATTTGGTCAATGACTGAAGTTCAACTTAATACTTTGTAACATAACCTTTGTTGGTAATGACAGAGGTCTATGGTTTCCTGTAAGTATTCACCAGGTTTGCCCACACTGCAGCTAGTATTTTGGCCCATTCCTCCATGCAGAGCAGTGATGTTTCAGGGCTGTCACTGGGTTACAAGAACTTTCAACTCCCTCCACCATTTTTTTATTGGTTTGAGATCTGGAGACTGGTTAGGTCACTCCAGGACCTTCAAATGCTTTTTATGGAGCCACTCCTTCGTTGCCCAGGCAGTGTGTTTGTGATCATTGTCATGCTAGAAGATCCAGCCACCTTTCATCTTCAAGGCTCTCACTGATGGAAGGAGGCTTTGGCTTAAAATCTCATGATACATGGGTCCGTTAATTCTTCCCTCAACACGGATCAGTTTTCCTGTCCCCTTTGCAGAAAAACAGCCCAGAGCATGATGTTTCCTCCCCCGTGCTTCACAGTAGGCATGATGTTCTTGGGATGCAACTCTGCATTCTTCTTCCGTCAAACACGACGAGTTGGGTTTTTACTAAAAAAGTTCTGTTTTGGTTTCATCTGACAAAGTGAAATTCTCCTAATCCTTCTGGATCATCCATATGCACTCTGGCACACGTTAGGCAGGCCTGGAAATATACTGGCTTGAGCAGGGGGACATGTCTGGCACTGCAGGATTTGAGACCCTCTTGGTGTAGTGTTTTACTGTACTTATGGTAGCCTTTGTTACTTTGTTCCTAGCTCTCTGCAGGTCATTCATCAGGTCCCTCGGTGTAGTTCTGGAATTTTTGCTTACCGTTCTCATAATCATTTCAACCCCACAGGATGAGATCTTGCGTGGAGCCCCAGATCGAGGGAGATTATCAGTGGTCTTGTATTTAGTTGCTTTAGTTTATTTTTTCACACCAAGCTGCTTGCCTATTGTAGATTCACTCTTCCCAGCCTGGTGCAGGTCTAAAATCTTCTTCCTGGTGTTCTCCAACAGCTCTTTGCCCTTGGCCATGGTTGAGTGGAGTGTTACTGTTTGAGGCTGTGGACAGGTCTCTTTTATACAGATAACAGGTTGAAAAAGGTGCCAATAATACTGGTAATGAGTGGAGGACAGATGAGCTTCTTAAAGAAGAAGTACCAGGTCTGTGAGAGCCAGAACTCTTGCTGGTTTGTGGGTAACTAAATTATTATTTTCCACCATAATTTACAAATAAATTCTTTAAAATCCTACAATGTGATTTCCTGGATTTATTTATTTTTTTCATTTTCTCTCTCCTAGTTGAAGTTTACCTATGAAAATTATGGACCTCTCTCATTATTCTAAGTAGGAGAACATGCACAATCAGTGGCTGACTAAATACTTTTTGGCCTCACTGTATGTGAACAAAATGTGTGTTGCTGTTTCTAGATGAATCAATATGGAGACAAACCCCTGTAATTTCCTTTGTAACTGTGTCTCTCTTCCTGCAGGAATCATGACATTTCCTTCAAGTTGCTGCGTAGGCCCAACCACTGCATAGGTCAGACCATGATAGACCAGGGCTTTATCCTGGTCAGAACCATGCAGATACTGATGGAGTGAATCAGGAGCAGACTGCATGGCCCTATTTATTTTAACCATATGTTAATGCTTTGATTTTCAGTTGAATGGATGCTAAACTGGGTGCAGGGTGTTTTGGCCTTCATACTGGATGTGATAAAAAGGAGAGTTTGATTTCTACTGTTATGTGCTGTGGCCTGCCTTCTACTACATTTGATTGAACCTGTCTATGATCTCTATACCAGCTCAGTGAAGCAGTCGAGGGTAAAAGAGATTATGGCTAGTCATATTTAACTAATGCATATTCTTTAGCAAGTTTAATCAATTTGGATTATGATTATCAATATGAGAATATGAGATATCTGTTTGAATGGTCAAAAATCATAAGAAGTGCATGCTTAATTCAAGAATAAATACATTAATGTAAACAAATTATTTTAAAAACACAGACTTAGCAAAAAAAAAGATCAACACACCATCTTTCTTGTGAAATGTTGACACTTTGTGTAACTTTTGTTAAACAACAACATAACATATCTTTGAAGATTCTCAGGCATCCAGATCATGGTCAGGCTTGAAAGGTTCAGTTTAGGCAACTGGACATTAAGTGTTCTGGAAAACGTTTCCCTCTCTGAACCTGTTAAGCAGAGTAGCCAAGAGAGATTTTTAAACCTGGTTTCTAAAATTGACGGAAAGTTTTACAATAGAGGACAACGATAGAGGACATCTTGATTATTTTTAGAAAGAGACTTAAAAAACAAGGCAGAGGCTGTGTAGCAATGAAATATTCTGACACTATGTGCCATTTTTTGTCCCTTTCTTCTTTTATTTTTTTTACTGATTAATTGTATGTATAGTGAGTCAAATTCCCCTGTGACTACCAGTGGTACTGCTGTGTTTGTTGCATTTGAAGACAGATGAGGAAACTTCCTGGTGACCGACTCCATATGCCAGTTTATTTTTGGTTCAGGAATTCAATTTGAGCTTCACATCTTAAATTCTCTGCTCCATGCTTCAACTATTGCTTTTAACAGAATCCCTGTTAGTCTAATTACTGGCATTCCTGCAGTCAATACTTGGTACAAATCTCCTGTACAAACAAGGCAACATTCAGCCCTCTTTTTCTAATGTTCGGAAAGATTAGGACACACAGAAAGTGGTTATCCTATTCCACTCTGCACTCTTTCAGGATCATCCTTAGTCCTATGTCCTTTTTTCCTTTCTGTTTAGCTCACATCACAAGTTTCATGTAATTTAGGTCAGAAGATTGTGATGCCAATGCAGGCAGGTTGACTTGTTTGCTCGCAAAACCTTTTTTGTTAATTGGGTCACATGTCATCATTACCTTGTTGTATTTTATTTATTTTTTTATTTAAATCTTTCTGGTATTTCAAAAACTCTGATACTTTGCCCTTTACCAAGCATCAAAGATTCAGCTTTCCTTAATATTGCACATCTATTTTTAGAAAATATAAATAATTTCACTACATGCAAGAAACAGTTGAAGTTTGTCTTCGATGATCTGATCAAAGCCTGCTGGTGACTTGTCCAGAGCGTACCCCATCTTTTGCCCATCAACTACAGGAGAAAGGCACCAGCCCCCATAGAGGGAGGATGGATGGTTGAATGGTTTGATGGATGGATGGATAGATAGATGGAGCTGTCGAGTCTATGAATTGCTTTTGTTATTTTATTTTATAGCACTCTAACTTAGATATTAAGCAATGTATGATGTACTAAAATGATATCCTCAGTGGGTAAATGCCCTGCTGACATTAATTAATAACATTATTAAAGATGAAACATGGTCTACTTAATAAGATATCAGAAGAAGTCAGAAATCCCTAACTCATAGCGTTTTAGGGATTTAATGACCATCTCTGGATATACCTGTCCTGTTCTGTCATGGCCATACTACAAAGTTACACAACTAAAGTTGCAAGTCAGACTTCAAACTTCGTAATTATTTCAAGCATCACACTATAGCAATTATGTAAGTGTGATTATTAAAATGTACAGTCAAGATAAATTGGCTAGAGGTGACCTGGCATATAAAATTGTAACATTTTGAATGTTACAATAGGATAGAATATATAGAATTACAAGTGTGCTATATGATTTGTCTTCCCTATGCTAACATACATTTCTTAACTACTTTATATTAAATACATATTTATATTTTTTGCACATAAAAACATGAAAAAAAATAAATGATTTTTTTTTCTATCACTTTGATTTCTACCACATTCATTTTATCATCCCACCTGGACAGTTATTTTACCGTCTGCACCTGATTGGCTGAAAAGGAAGATGACAAGAGATGGTGGGATCCTTCTGATGGGGAGGGAGAGTTAGGTGGGCTAAACTGTCCAGAGATTTTTCTGTGCATACTAAAGAGATTTCACACTAGCTACAAAGCACAAAATGTATATATGGTCCTTAAATCAGATCCCCAAACCTCATGTATTATAATTATGCGGTGCTTACGTACTCTCAAAAATGCTTCAGGAAAATTCTACATTACATCTACCCCAGGTTTTGATAAAATAATGTTCTCTAACACAAGCAAATATTTTGTATATCAAGAGATAAAAACAATTATGCATCAAAAATATTACACTAAAACAACAACAATATATGTATTTTATGTGGAATGGTAGGAAGCATGCATTTACCTTCAGTGGGTGAGGTTTTCAATCGCATGCAGAGTCCTTCCACTGCTCCATAGTCCTCCTGGAGCTTGACCACTGCCTCTGTGCCACGAAGCTCCATCAAAGACCGCAGCTCCATAACAGAGCAACCAAAGCCAGCCGCATGGTTGCTCTCTTTTCTTTGGTTCTTGGCATAAAAATCGCTATTGGACATGTCCCCCATGTTTTCAGCTTTCAAGTCAGTTGGATTAGTGTTTGTTATTGCTTATAGAAGAAGAAGAATTGCACAACAGAGCTCAGTCTGATTAAAAAAAATCTAAAAATAATTTCTAACAGGCAACAATGACTGAAAAAGGAATAAAGAGCAAGTGCTTCTTGGGGATAAAGATGTTCAAAAAAAGGACAAAAATCCAAATAGATAAGAGGGGAGAAGCCTATATTTCAGGTGAAACGGATCTTAACAGGAAAAAAAAGATGCAAAAAAGAAGAAAATTAAAGCACAGGAAAGAGAGCAACAGTGCAGGGGAAGAAAAGGGGATTGCAAATCACAAATGGGGAGCATCCAGGTAAGTGCTGGACAGCCCAAGTGGTTAGGTCCTGAGAAGGGCAATGATGGTGGTTTCAAGTCATGTAGCTCTCAGGCTCACCACGGCTGCAGTCCAGACCCACTCCATGTGTGGCTTTCCATTACTGCTCTTCTGCTCTTGCCTTTGTTGCCTCTCAGTCTCTACATGGTGGTCCTCCCCATCACTGCTACAGAGAAAGGGAAAGAAAAGAGAGGGAGTCGAATTCGAGAAATGAATTCGGAGAGGTGAGAGAAGGAGCAGGGAGAAACACAGAGAGAGCACAGGAATGAGCGTTGTGTTCTCAGGGCAGGGGTGAATGCAGCAGTAGATGGTGCACAGCTGAAGGACAGCCTCTCCTGGCTGCTGTAGTAACTGTGCCTCTGCTGTCTCTATCTACTGCTGCTGCTGGTGCTGCTAACCTCATTCTGAGTACACACACTAACTGACAGAGAACGAGCGAGGACATAAAAGAGACGGAGAGATGAGATTGCTCCTTTCTGGTGCAGAGAGGAGAGGAGTTGTGCGCGGGTGGGAGGCTGGGGCTTCTCTGACGACAGAGCAGAGATGCAGAACGTAACGCTGCGCTGTCACAGGGAGGATGGGCTGAGCCGAGAGCTGATGCTGCTGTCTCACCAGTAAGTAAACTGCTACTTCACTCTGCAGTGAGCGACCTCTTATGTGAAGCCACTCTATTTCAATGACACATTCCCCTAATGTTGTTTTCTTTTAATTCTTGGCATTAATGAATGCAGATCAGTTAACCTGCACAGACATTGTGCCACTACATATTTTTACCGGAAAATTTAAGAGGCACACTCCACTGAGGTAAGATAACTCAAACCATTCAAGTTCAAACCATTCTCTACTATCTGTTTAACTCCATATTGACAGACAGAACAAATAACACTATACCATAATTACTAAACCTTTGTAGATTAAACTTAAGATAATACTGATAACCTCAATCCACTAATTAATCGGATCATTTTGCACCTCCTACCAGATAGTCAAGTTAATAAATTCTTTAGATTCATTTTCTAATAACTTAGATTAAAGCAAAACTTACTTAATAGCCTCTTTCCCAATGAAATTAGCAGGTTAGCACAGTTTATTTCGACCCGCTAAAAATTATAACGCCACTACTACAGAAATCAGGAAAGTGAACAACGGAGATCAACATGGAAGGGAGCCAAGGCGTAGTAAGGGTGCTGTATCGTTTGGCTCTTTTGGCCATCTGAATCCCTCTTAGCAGTGCTGTGCCATGTTTATCAAGTGTAACCAGAGTTTTTTTGGCTTGTAAGATCAGAAGCGACTGGCGCAATGTTGCTGGTGAAGATTCTCAGTCATTCAGGTCACAGTCATTCCAAAAAAGGTTTTGTAAAAAACCCACACGTCTTCAACCTTGGAAACAAAGTCCAGTAGATTTTTTTTTGTTTTTTTTTTACTTTTTTTGGAATGGCGCAATGTTGTGACGTACATTCTCTGCATTCAAGAAAATTTGCAGGTCGACCCGGGTGTGATGTTGGCACTGTAAGCCAATCAGAGCCGAACAATTTGAAAGCGATTTTAACCTGGGACGCTTACCGAGTCATTTGACATGAGTCGACACTGGTCAGTGAGCTGCTTCCACTTCTTCTACTGTAAAAGCCGATTGTTTGCAGGGTTAAACAGCTTTATCAGGCAGTGGGAAATGAGGTAAAAGTCAATTTTTCTGAATTTAATAAATCTATAGTAAGTATTTATTTTATGAAAACAAACTGATACTTTCATTTGCTATTTTTACAACACAATGGCATTTATTCATCCAAATTTACTAAACGAAATTTGGTTTTGTATACACGCTGTGTAAACAAAATGACAATAAAATTTGTCTAAGTCTAAAGTCTAAGTCTAAATGCACCGGCCTCTACAATTTTGTGTGCTCTGTATAGTTTGAGATATACCCGTGCATTGGGTTGTTGCGTTGGTCTGAGCATGCCATGCACAAGTCCAGAGAAGAACTGTACCCTTTTATAGTTGATGCGGATGTAGGTGTGGTACTCACAACAACCAGAGTGGGGCAGGGATAAAAACATGTGGAAATGCAGAAAAAAAGAGAAGAAACAGTTGACACCCTACTTTGGAGGAAGGGATGGCATGATAGTGTCACTTTTACTGCATGTGCCCTCTCAGCCTGTTCGATGTGGAGAGTATAAACCAAACCTATCACTCATACAGTATTAGCCTCTGTCGCAATGAAAACCCGGGTTTTTTGAAAATTGGGTTGATCCGCTAACAATTGGCTTTTAGCTATTTTTCCATTTGACTGAAAAGCCAGCTCTAAACAATGAAGGGCAACATAGACGGGAGCCAGAGTGTGTTTGAAATCTGGAGACGAATCTCTTCTTCTGCGCGGATCATAAGGAGCTCACAAATCTCTATTTTGCCAGTGCTATGCCATGTTTCTCGACTAAAAGCAGAGTTGTTTGGCCTTGTTATTTAACATGCTAACGACAAGATGATGTCAGATACGTTCCTTGCCCTCCATGTCATTACATAATTTAGCATGTCAGCTCTGGTGTTCACACTGCATACTGATCAGAGCCAAGGCGATTTTAGCGCGGGTCCCTTACAGAGTTGTTTGACCTGGATTGACACGCGTCAGCGAGCTGTTCCCACCGCCACTAAAAGCTGATTGTTCCCGGGTTTAAATGGGTTTTTCGGCCAGTGTGAAAGGGGTAATAGAGGTCCACCCCTATATGTAGATATATGTGACATGTGCACATCTGAACACACACTATGGCCAGTAGTCATAGAAAACAGCAGAAAATAGGTCGCAATCGCCTGCAAAACCAGCTACAATATTAAAGTCGCAAGCGGCATTGGGCGGCCCTCACAGCTCAGTGCTGCTCAGCCTATCGCGACCGCAGGACCAGCGCACCACTATGTATGTATGCCAATGTGGTCCACATTCAACCTTCCTGACAGTAGTTCCAGCTATTTCTTGTTTCATAGGCAAGCAGCGAACAACAAGGGCTTCCAACAGTAAAACACAAGACTTCCTGTTGCCTTGGAACTGGGCTACTCTGATATCTTCAAATAGGCATCTGTATTTGCCAAATGCTGTTCCAAGATAACACAACAAAAAATTTACTCCTCTGAACTAGCATATTGTAGTTATAAAACCATGATGTTTAATGGTGAGAGGTCAGATTGTGATGCTTGGCTGGCCCCATATGCTTCGATGTAGTAAAATTATTTTTATCAATTTAAGTTTATGCTAAGCAAATTTAAAGTCTGTGACTCAAACCTCTGGCTGAAGTTTGCTGAGACACTACACGACTCAATAAGAGAAAATTATATTTTTGATCCAAAATGGCCGACTTCCTGTGGGGCTTGGACTATGGCTCCAAGAGACTTTTTTGTAGATTTTCACCAGAAACACATGTACCAAATCTTATAATTGTACAATATTAGCCTTCATATAACATCCTGACAGCTGTGATTATAGAGCTACTCATCCTCTTGCAGGTAAAAACCATAATCTCTTACTCCAGATCAATGTATACTAGCATGAGTGCTTCAGGACAGCCCCGTCAGGAATTTATAAATAATTTCTGTCTTATATTCATGTTTATCTGTTGTTATTAAACTCATTTTAGTTATTAAAGATAAACTAGTTTTGCCTGAATCTTTAATTTCAGCTTGCAAATATGGTTTATTTTAAACAATTTACATTAGTGATTTAGCCTTCGCCATACTAGTAGAGTCTTCATCAGATTATAAAAAGGTTCATCATTAATATTATTATTCAAAGTGAACCTTTGCCTCACTGTTGCCCTTTATCAACCCCCACCCACACAGAGGGGGACCTGGAATCAAAGCACCCTAGTTTTGTATTCTGCTAAGCCCTGCAGTGACTAAAGTGTTTATCTGTCATCTGTAAATAGTTCTACTTTGAGGTTCTTTGGAAGCCACAATGTTGCAACCCCAACAATCACAACCTTTTTAGACAGTATTTTACAAAAGTAAGTACATCCCTTAAATTTTTAAATATATATTTTTAGGAAATAACACTGATGATATGACACATTGATAGAACTCACAGCACTCAGTATATCTTGCATTACTTTCATCTTTAGTGTTTAATACTAACAACAATGTTGGTATTAGTTAATTTATGTTGTCTCTTTTTTTTTTCTTTACTATCTTAACTTACTTTTTATAATATTTTGTATTAATTTTAGCCATTTTGTAGTGTTTCTTGTTTTGTGCAGAACTTTGATCACCCCTAAATGAAAATGTCCAGAGTTAAACAATTTTGAGTCTATTTTGAAATACTGTTTTCATTTTGTCCACATTTCACACAAACTTATGACAGAAACTCCAAAAAATCATTAAGTTGTGTTATTTAGTGGGTTGCTGCATATTGAATCAGAGGTAGACAGAACTGCTGATTTGTTTGGTATAATTGTCAAAAAAGCCTGGCATCTGTACCAGAAAATCACCTTTTCAATCTGTGCCTACATCACAGATAAATATTCACATGCTGGTATTTAATCATCCTACAGCTTCAATATTATATCCTGCTTTTTCTTAAATCTATAAGACTGTTCAACATTTTGCAAAGATGATAGCTAATATTTTCTGCCTGCCCCCAATTATTTAACAAGAAACTGACTAGAATGTTGCTCAGCTTGAACGTATGCTGTACCTAAACAGCTTCAGTTAATGTTGGTGTTAATTTCAACTGCCAGGGCAGACCTTTATGCTGAATCCTCCATAATCAACAACTAGAACTGCATTACCTAAAGGTCACCAAAGACATATACTGTATAGCATATCATTCCTTGCCATTAATAACGTCTGTAAATCTGTCTGAAGACATGCAGTTACTAAAAATGTGCTCACACATTCTATCTTGCATTCATAGGTTAAAGGAAAGCAGCCAATGACTAAATAACACAAAATTAAACACAGAGCAGGATGCCAATAGCGTTTACTTATTAATCCCCTGAAATCTGCTGAATTTGCTATTTCAAGATTGAATATAAGAACACTGGAAGGAGGTTTATGAAACTGTCCTGGATACTCAACAACATCTGCTCTCAAAGATGTATGGTTGTTTATATTAAGCTTTGCCCTATCAAAATGGGGATGTAAGTAGCTTGTGAAGCTGCCTGCACCCTGTGTTTAAATTAAAGTGATGTGTAGAGACGAGATTCCAAGAGATCTTACCCAGAAATGACATATGAAGTAAAAACATCACCCTTCATCATCTAAGATTTTTTCTGCAGTTCAACCCTCCCACCAGATCAAGTAGGTAATTATCAGGACTTACAAAAGGAGGTATAATAAGAGATTATAAAGAACTTTTGAGACAGAGGCTAGGTGCACTGCTAATTCCTTAACTAAGTACCTTCAAAAAAAAAAACTACTTTCCGTGATTTCATACATATACCACCTGTAAGTACATTTGGGTCTCTGTAAATAAAGCTTGTATCACCCCAGATGATACATAAGCGAATATAGTGATTGAAGTCTATTGTCAATATCCCACAG